GATGATCGTAAAGACCTAGTAGGCTCAGAAGTTTCTAACAAGTCACTGATATAACTAGGGCATAAATTATTTACAGCTTTAAAAGTAAAGAATAGGATTTTAAAAATAATCCTCTGCGCCACGGGGATCGGAGCTAGTGCAGTTCCCACAGTAAAGGAGTAACGTGGTCATGCTTGCCACCACATAAGATCAGTCGTGCCGCACAGTTCTGGGCTTATTCAGTGCAATCTATGAGCTAAATGTTTAAATTACAGTTGTCTAATCTGCATGTAACGGAGGCGTGTACTAACGCCTTAGTACTACTAACTGACAAAAACTTTCTAATCCGAGAAATATTCCGGATGGGAAAAAATGCAGATTTACAAATAGCAGAAAGTTGACGTTCCATATTTAACTTATCGTCAAAGAATATATCTATGTTCCTGGCAGAGTGTGAAGGCTGTATAAGTAAGCCATCAATCGCTGTAAAAGAAGGAGGCTGAGAAGCAGATAGATTTCCCGATCCGATGACCAAAAGCTCAGTCTTATCACCGTTAAGTTTGTTCAATGACATCCAAGTTCCAATATCCTGTAGGCAGGCTTCGATTCTCGTAGTAGTAAATGATGAAACCGAGTCAAGCGAAAAATAAACCTGACAGTCATCCGCATAGTTCATATCAGTCTTCTTATAATGTCGCCGAGAGGAGACGTATACAATAAATACAAAATCGGACCTAGAACAGATCCCTGGGGAACTCCAAACATCAGATCAGAGTGAGAGGAATTTGATCCATTTATGCTAACAAATTGACTTCGATCTGTGAGAAAGACTTAAACCAAGTAAGAACCTTGGCTTTGATACCAAACTGAGTATTAAGTCTGTGACGTAATAAACCATGGTCGACCGTGTCAAATGCCGCAGATAGATCGAGCAGTAATAAAACAACGGTATAACCCTGATCCACAGTTCGTAAGATGTCGTCATGAACTCTCAGAAGGGCAGTCTCAGTACTATGCAATTTCATGTAAGCAGATTGTAATTTCTCACCAAGGTTGTTGTCATCAAANACACACGCGAGTGTTCAGAGTATTATGGAGAACTCGGCTGCTCAAGACAGCTTTCAATTCCAGATATTAAATAGGGTTGAGGTGGAAACAGCACTACAAAGTCTCAATACTAGAAAAAGTAATGGATGGGATGGCATTCCCTCAAAGGCTCTAAAAGCTGGGGCAAGAGAGTTATCAATACCCTTGACTACACTGTATAATTCATGTATTACCTGTTGTGAGTGGCCTACAATGTGGAAGAAAGGAGAGTGGACACCAGTCTTTAAGAAGGAAGATCCCCATGAGAAAGAAAACTATCGTCCAATAACTGTGCAAGTCACAGTTAACAAAATCTTTGAGCAGCTACTCAGCAAGCAACTAAGTCATGGGTTTAATAATAAACTATGTGATAAATTAACAGCATATAGGAAGAGGAACAGCTGTGAAACTGCTTTATTGTCATTAACCGAGAACTGGAAAATGGCTTTGGATGAACGCAAAATTGTCGGAGTTCTCTCCACAGACATGAGTAAAGCATTTGATTCTCTATATCATCCTCTCATGTTGGCTAAACTAAAGGCTTATGGTGTTAACGACAACAGTATCAGACTGCTGAACTCATATTTTACTGATCGCTTCAACAGAGTTAAACTGGGACCAGTAGTGAGCTCCTGGGAGAGGGTGTCAAGGGGATGCCCACAGGGATCTGCATTTGGGCCGTTATTATGGAACATTTTTCAGAATGATCTAACTTATGACATTAATACAAACCTTAATATGTATGCAGATGACCACCAGTTTTATGATATGAGCAGTAATCTAGCTGATGTTCATGCTAATCTGACAGTAAGTGCTGAAGTAGCTTCCAACTGGTACAGTTCCAACTTCCTTAAAGGAAACTTCGACAAGTATCGAACCTTAACACTTGGTAATAAATGTGATCATAGTATGAGAATTGTTATTGGAGACGTAGAAGTTAAATCAACTGCCTGCCTGAAATTGCTTGGAGTATCAATAGACAATGATCTCCGATTTGCTGAACATATTACTACAATCTGTAAGAAAAGCAGCCAACGTGTAGGAGTCTTAATGAGACTCAGAAACTTAATACCTACTAGCACCAAGTTGCAATTGTTTAAAGCTGCCATTCTTCCTTATTTAACTTACTCTCATCTTGTTTGGCACTTCTGTCGTGCTAGTGACAGCAGAAAACTCGAACGCATACAGGAAAGGGCACTTAGAGCCATCTATTGCGACAAAACGTCAAGTTATAACACACTATTGGGTATGGCTAATCTATGTACTTTACATAACAGAAGGTTACAGGACATGGCTACTCTCATGTACAAGGTCAAGAATAATATATGTCCTAAGTATATTGCTGACCTATTTCGGAGGTCTGATACGAAATATGCCCTACGTAGCAAAGAATTTGTTATTCCTAGATTTAATACAGCAACATATGGTAAGCACTCTATCAGATATACTGGACCTAAGTTATGGAATATTGTACCTAAGAACATTAGAGATCTGCCAACATTATCATCTTTCAAGATAAATATCCGTAAGATTGATCTAAATACTTTACTGACCGATAATTACTGTACCAACTGTATTTTATGCAGTACTTAATGTAAAAAAAGTTTTTTAATGTACATTTTATCTTGTACATATTGTAAATATTTTAGCATGTTAACCAATCTTAGTATTTTTAGCTCAACTAGCATTTTAACTTTAATTAATATATGGATTTAGTCATTTTTAATTTATTTTGTAGTGTCCCCATTTAGTGGTTATGTACTGCTATTTTAGTCTGACACTTAAATAAAGGTATTCATTCATTCATTCATTCATTCATTTGACATCATATCTTTTTAATAACGCTGGAAAGAGATTAGAAACATGAATCTCAGGCCTTTTAGCTTGTTTATATTTTAATTCTTAATTAGAATGCGATTTATTGTAAACTATATGATATAACGTAATAAGAATAGTATAGTAATTTTAGCATAGAAGAGCCAATTCATTTTTGGAATGCTAATAAACCTTTATTCTTCTTCTTCTTCTTCTTCTTCTTATTATTATTATTATTATTATTATTATTATTGTTATTAGGGACTTCTACCAGTTTATTTAGTCAAAATGTGAAAAAAAAAGAATTGTGCATAATCAGCGAGCTCTTAAAATATGCACAAAATGTTGCATGTACCTTCTCAAATGAAACGGTCGCAAGATTAACTTGCAAAACATTATTGAAGGTGACTTTTATTGATTCTCACCCTCGGAAAGGATATGTCAACACCTCTGCACTATAGGTGAGGGAGGAGGTTGGAAGGCAGTGGGAGTACATTTTATCACTAAGGGGGGTAGATAGGTCAAGAGTTTTGAGAAAACTTAAATCTTGGGGTAGCGTCGTCCGTTTTTCTTAAGAAGACAGACCGTCGATGTGGCGTTTTCTTAAGTGGACTTCTAAAGTCAAATGCGGCTTGATGACCAGCAACAAGCAATAACTTGCCCTACTTTCCAATTTAGTTTATTGTGTTAATTCAACAGCATAAAGTTGACTCGTTAAAGCGATTATCTTGCTTAATTTTTCAATATATTTCTTCTGTTTTGATTGGCTCCTGTGATCTATTTGAACTCAACCTCATTATAATCAATCTCCCTAAGCACCAATCTATTCACGTATTAAAATAACCTCGCTCCGCCTCAAAAGAAATATTGATTACAAATTGAAAATGACCGATATCGTTCTTAGAAGAGCTAGCGGGGCTAGTTTGATTGAGCTATCTTCTTTAGCTCATATACATACATCCATACATAAACTTTTATTATTCACTCGGATTTATGAATAGCACTAGATGTGCTAGTATCTCCGAACATATAACTACAAAACAAGTGACAGTAAATTCAAAATCGGAAGACTCATATAAAACTTCATATATAAATGCTAATAATTATATACTAATCCCCATTAGATATATAACTCCTGATAGCACGTTTAAAAGCGGCTAGAGTGTCCGACATTCTTAATTCATCTGATGAGCTATTCCATGCAGAGGCATCAAGATACCTGAAAGAGTGAAGTCCAAAAGTTGTGGTCTTCACCGCTGGTATCTGTAATTTCCTTTTACCCCTTAAATCATATGCACTTTGACTGCGCTCTTTGAGAAGTGATGTGATATACCCAGGAGCCATGTTGTAAAGGCCTTTGTAAACCATAGTTAATATGTCCTGGACTCTTTTATCTTTTAGTGATACCATA